TGAAGACCGTATGTTGACTTCTGGATGTCATTTTTTTTTGTGCCGGTTATTTGGTTGTTATATCATTTACGCATATTTTTTATATCTTGTGATTCTTATTTTGGAAATTAACATGTTCAATGAAACAACAATATATATAAAAAAAGCTTTCTGTGATAATTGTTAAATATATTGTCTCCTTTCGATTAAAGTAAAAGTTGAGATCACAATTCTTTATAAATATTTTTCTGTGTACAAGTTGCATAATTCCTTGAAATTATATTAAGGAAGAAAATACTTAATATGAAACTTCTCATGAGAGGACTTTATAGAAAAAAAAAATAGACAAGTTATTTTTTTCCATACATACAAATATTTTTTAAAGTGAAAGTAAAGCATTTCTTAAAATTTTGAAGTCCAATGGACTGTCATATAAAAAAAATTCTGAACGGAATGGAACTCGAACTTTCTCTGTTACTTCATATAAGATGATCATATACGATAAATCAGGTCAATATACCTCTATTTGTAATAGGGACAAAATTGTTTGAAAATTTTACCGACCAGAACAAAATCCAAATTTGATCTATAACTTATTTTCACATTACTATAATCAGATCAGTATATTTAACTATTTGAGGGGGAAAAACTTGAAATTTCGGGAGCAAAATGTGAACTGCATGTAACTACAGATGAAGCACTTGTATACCATATTAATAAATTTGATATCTCTAAGCATTCAGGAACAAATATGAAAATAAACGTGTGACGGACAAAACAGAAACTACATGGACTGACGGAGTGAAAACCTAAAGTCTAACAGGCTTCGTTCATAGATACTTATAGCACAGCCATCAATTTCCCAATCATAATTAATAAGATGTGGTTTGTAAGAAGGAAACTAAAAATGCAGACTAAATTGAATGTTCTCATACATAAATGTTTGAATGATCTATTGTTAAATATTAAATCATAAAAGTACAGACATGCATGTATCCATTTTGTAATAAGATAGATTGATAGTTGAACGTCCAGTGGGAAATATTTCATGCTTATTCAGGATGTCACGAGAACCGATTCAATAAATACAATAGGTTGTCAAGTTTTGCAAAGTGGATCGACCGAGACAAAGGGTGGCAAATTCAGATTGACTCCATTTGAGGATAATGGTACGTTGGATAGGGACAGCAATTTTGCTTTGCAATAGGCCACATTTGGACCCTAAAAGGGTTGTGGCAACGTTACAATTCCGATCCGATGTATTATGATAGAGATCTTCTTATTTTCATATAGTGTATGCCCCAATCTCGAGGAGTGGGGAGTGGAATGCAATATTGAAATCATATTGTCCGTCCGTTCGTCCAACAACTAATATCGTCGTTGTTTTCACCTCTCAGAAACTACCAAACAGAACGACTTTATATTAGTTTAGCAGATTGTCAGTGATAAGTTGTATCGCTTGTGCGCTTTTTCGATATGTCAAACACACACTACCTGTTTGCCGATACTTTGAATATTCAATATGTCGAATGAACTAACAAAATTTCGTCACACATTTCTTCAATACTACAGAACAGATTGGTTTAATTCATGGTGGGTAAGCGGCTCAATAATGATTATTTGTAACCTGTGTACGGTTTTCGGATCTGTTATGTACCTATTTCCTGTTTTCTTATACTTTGAATTACAAATGGGGTATTCTAAGCACGATAACTAGTGTATTGTCATAGTAGACAGTCGTGGTATGATCTAATTCCAACAACACATTGGGTACACGTGCGTTAAGTCACACATAAACTTGACTACTAGTATTTACTTTAATTCATTTTTATATGAATTTAGAAAAAGAGTACAGAATGATAGTGTGACTGAAGTAAAAACACGTTTTTTTTTCGTCGAATCATCGATTGTTCTCCAACATATGTCTGTTTATGGTTCATAATTATACATTAATAACAAAACAATAATAAGACACGTACATATACTAGTCAACAAAAGTAACGATACACAAGTTTGAACTCAAATTTATCATAGAATATAATAAATAGGAAAAACTGTTAAATTATCCAATAAAAAACATTAACTTTCAAAGGTAATGCATATGATTAAAAAATCTGACCAAATTGGAAAGTGAGAAAATACCGTGCTATTGAACACAGGGGTCAAATTTATTTTGCGGAAAATGATGACAAAAGTCGGCTCTTAATTTCGAAGATGAAAATTTAGTATTCAAATATCTGTTAAGGCATTCAAAATTTTAAACAGAACATGTTTATGTTAAAGTTTTAAGTTCTAATATCTATTTTTGAATTTTTGGGTGAAAATACGATTTTTGAAATAACAAAATTTGCAAATAAAAAAATTCGCGTATTTGCCTTAAATCAATAGTTTTGATAAGAAAATAACACTCTGTAAATATTAGACCAATTGGGCAATTATTTACCTTGGTACTGTGTATCCAATTTCATTATATATGGGAAATACATTGCCTTGTATCGTTTCTTTTGTTGACTAGTATACATTTGCAAATACCGTAGGCTATAATTGTTTGCTTAAGAAAAAAGACAGAAGATATCAAAGCGAGAATTATAACTTATAAGTCGATGAAAGATGAATAAATTAATGTCAATTTGACAACAGACAAAAAACGGCGAAAAGACAAACAAAAGTCTACAAAACGCTACATACAAAATCCTAAAGAACAACACCAAAAACTCGGGGTGATCTCAGGTGCCCCGGAAATTAAAAGAAGCCGCTGTAGATATTAGATATTAGAACATCGATAGAATTGTGCGTTTATGTTAAGTTATCTAAGTCATTATGTCAGTGTAACAAATATTGAATTGAAGACGCCGAGTATCATTTTACCTTTGTTCACAAGTATGAGATAAATGTTTCAATGAGAAATAAATGATTAAAATCTTTTTATTGAAAAGACCTTGTTTCAAGTTTGTACAGCTATGATTGTCTGTCCATAATGTAAAAAAAATGAATCAATAATTTAGGGATTTATTTATATTTTACTGAAAACAAAACCCTTAACTGATTATTGTATATGATTCTCGGCTATTGTCATTTAATATTGTTTGTCCATGAAACACTTCCACTGATGCTTTGTCATTTGTATTTTTGTTGAATGTTTTTTCTACTATAAGCTATATTGGTTACGAATAAAGTCTTTATTATCATACAATCATATTAGCGTTTCACGATAATAAATATAGTTTTACTTTTATCAAAGAGGATTACAAATTTTACTTTTGAGTACAGCTCCGTTTTCATGATAGTTACCTAGTATTATAATATCTTATTCAAATACGAAATAAACTACAGAATCTGTATGTTTTAGCTATTTATACTTAAATCACACGTGACAACTAAGACAGTGCTCACCTCAAAAACAGGATGGATCACGAATTTAAAAGAAGTCAAAGGGTTGATCTGGTATAATTTCATTATTCCAAAATATTTTGAAAAAAAAAAACCACTAGAAGAGGTTGGTAAAAGAATCGGGAGAATACCTTTAAAAAAAAAAGGAAATCTCTTCGTAGAGTGATCACTGGAACATTTGGTGATTATCATATTCAAGACATAGTACAGACACAATGTTATTTGGAAACAAGAAATAGCTTCTAACTTTAGAATAATCGATATAATAAGAACATATCATTTTCACTTACAAAAAAAAAACTTTTAACAGGGAATAGATATAGAATTGGTCAATACTTTTACTAATTTTTATCATGAAAATTAAAGACATTTATTGATGAAAGAGGACTCTACCTACATGAATTTAATTTTAAAAAGTGATATTTCACACCATCTTTTTGCGATAACATTATTAATAAAGCACACAAGTTTAGAAAATTTCGTTTTCGTAAATAGACTTGTTAGTAAATGTTTTAACTGACAAGCTTTCTAAGACAGACATCTGAAATGTGGTTAAACTCGTCCTCTTTTTGTTTTAATCAGTTACTGTAGAATGACATAAGGTACATATATGTTGTGTACAAGTTATCATTTTGTACAAATTGTACTATCATAATTAACTAGCATGCATGTATCAATTACATTTCCTGTCTCTATCTGGGTATTTTTGTATTTTGTAAATAAGGTTTATTGTGTGGCCATTGAATAAAAATTCTATAGTGTGTATCAATGCTTCTTTTATAACAAAATCCATACTATAAATTATTGCACAAGTTATAAGTGAATTTAAATCAAATGTCGTACACAAGTGCAGAATTTTAAAAATTGAATCAAAGTTTAAACAAATAGGATGTCGGTTTCGATATCAATGTAGGAAGTAATATGCTGTAATTTAAAAAAAAAACATCCTGAAAAACAATTTAATTCACCCGTTCAAGGTTTTTTCAAGCCATGAAAGAAAAAGAAACATACAAGCTTTACAAGAGTTTTTATTTTGTGTGTGTACATGTTACATATTTGTATTGTTTATTGTTTATTTGTGTTATAAAGTAGCATTCCCATTGTTTGGATTTTAGATTACTAAATATCTTATATCTTGGATCTTAATGTGTACCTGGAAAATATGTGACGAATCACACGCGCTATGATATTTTATCAAATAACGATTAAGAATTGTCAATGATATTCTTCTAACCTATGCCTTACAACACACGGTTCGAGTTCATGTCTTAGGCAGGTTCACTGCTTCACACGACTTTTTTTTCATTGTATCTATTAGATACCGTAAGCAATACAATAATAATCAATAATTAATTAATAGTTTTATATTTGTTCACTTCCTTGTTCAAGGTCCGGATCTAAACTGAAAGTAAAAAGAAAACGGATGCATCTTTAAAAAGTACAGTTAAAAGATAAAGAAAATGGGCCAATTTACAGGAATGAAGATAAACCTATCAATAAATGTACATGAAAGCAAGATACAATTAAAAATATATTATATATAAATCATTCAACTCGGGTTTTAATGATAAATATTGCATGTATTGTGCACAAAAACGTAACATCAGAATACCCAATCTTATAGGTAATGTTTAAATTTGTCCTCAAATAAATCACCCTTATCAATGTTAAATTATACATATGATGTAGTCATAAATATTTCTTCCCCATAACAAAGACAAATGTTGTTAAGATGGAATACAGTGAAGAAATTTCTCATAAAAGGTAAGTCATACATATATAAGAAAAGCTTATTAAACGAAAGGAACTATTTTCATTCCTGTTATATTTCAGTTGAAATAAAACGAGATGTTGGATAAACACTAAAGAGGAAGCAACCCAAACGAAAATTAACATCCAAAAGTCATTGGGTAGGTCAACATATGTAGTCTTTAACAATAGACAGGTATCAAACTAATGCAATCTATAAAGCTCTAAATCGGCAAAGGCTAGCAAAAGTTGGGAAGAAATAAAACAGAAATTAATAAAGATCTGCCACAAACAGAAAATTATCCATAACCCCCCCCCCCCCGCTAAAATTGATATGACAGTCGACACCTGTACTTCAGAGAAGAGTTTACTCGGCAACGGCAGCACAGAAAGACACTGTTTTGTGCATTGTGCATAACAAAATGTAAATAATTTAATGCAGAAAAAACAAAGCATAATTTTAATCTTGTTTCAAACAATATAAACAACCGAATTTGTTTTTATAAAAAAAAAAAAAAAAGATTTAAAGAGTAATTGAACAACATTGAGGAAAAAAGAAAAGAAAGACAACGATGGACAATCCCTAAACTTGTTAGTTTTATCATTATATTACCGCAAAAAGCTGGATGCGAAATATCATTTTTTTGATAAAATTCCTTCAGGTGGGATCATGCATCCACAATAAGTCTCTAAAGTTGTGATAACATTTAGTCTAAGGTTAGACCAACGAAGGAAATCTTTTTCCTTGCTGTGAAAGTAATGATAATGATCTTAGACAAATTCGTTTTAATGAATCTCTTAAAAGTAATGAACATTTTAATAGTTTTACAGACTGTCGGAAAATGGTATTTTTATTTTCGAATCAAGATATTATAACATTATTTGCCAAAACCTGGTTTTCGAAAGTATCTTATGACTAAGACATGTCATACGATGGTCTTAGGATATGTCATAGTCGTAAGATATGTTTTCGAAAGTGTCCCAAGTTGCGATATGTCACAACTTTTGTCGTAAACTTAAGACACCTCGCGACATGACTTATGATGGTCTTATGGTTATCATAAAAGTAACGACATCTCTTCCACTGTTCTAAGGTGATCAATGTCAGCTTCTGCATTTGTCTTTTAACATGCAGCCTCCCATGCTCTCTTTTTGGCACTGTTTGTTGTTGTGATGCTCATTCTGCTAAAAAGTACAGATTAATTCTTCTCCACTTCGTCAATTAAAATTTGAATCACCTGTGACGTAAAATCTGGCCTTTTCTTATTCATGATTATGTTTAATAAATGTATATATATATATATATATATATATATATTGTTTCTTTCCTTATATAGTAGTTTATTAACGTATTTGCACGTGCATTCCTTTAAGCGGGTAATCAATGTAACAAATCACAATTGAATAACACTTCGTGTATAATAATACATGAACGGACGAAGTTCTAAAATTTTGTATATACAAACTAAATGTAAACAAATTATCAACTCAGATTTCTATTCCTTTTCATATTCCTTTTCATGTTTATCATAATGAAATCAATAAAATATTCGTAAACAATAAGAATGGTAGTAATAATTGTCTTCATATTTATCAATGTAATAGTATTTATTTATTTTTATCTTTTTTTAATCATTATTCAATTTTTTTTTTAAATATGGTCACTTATGACACATAAGAGCAGCATAGGTATGAATATCTTGGGACAGCTTTGATTTACATTCTATGACATATCATAATTTTATGATAGTCACAAGATGGTCATAAAATTTGTCCTAAGATATATCTTATGACATATCTTAGGATACTTTCGATACCAGGCCCAGTTAATTTTATTCTGAAAAGACGCCGAGAAGTTTTATATTGTAAATAATAATAAATAATTATGCTGTATAATTTTGCCATTCATGTTTAATATTTATTAATGTACATACATGTTGTTGTAGTTGTTATCATCTCTCCTAAATTTGTACAGATTGGCTTATGTATACAAAATGTATCTTTTATAATTGTATTGTGTAATGTTATGCTTTAGGTGAGACGTAAATAAAATATTGAATTGAACTGAATAGTAATTACATTGAAATCCGACGCGTCACTGCTTAGGACATCTTTACGATAAATCCGTTGGAGGTGTACTGATTGATATTTAGTCTTCAAAGACATGATATATTTATTTGTTGAAATTGGGCTTTGAACTAGCTTTTAGAAACTGCAGGATCTAAGTAGTCTTTGATCGTTACTTTGTCTCCTTATCTTTCTGTTAGTTGTTTTGTTCTTAGTACTTAACTAATTAGTCTAGCCTTTTTTACAGTATGTTGTTGCACCACTGTCTTAGGTTAGGGAAGGGTTGATCGGACATTATTTATGTGCCTGACCCATGTCAGGAGCAAGTAACACAGTGGCTGTTGTTGGTTACATTCTGCCAGAATTGTTCATCGTTTACTGCTTTTAGCATAATTATTCCATTTTTTTTTATTTCAAATTGTATATATATAAATTCCAGAAGTATTCCTATAAAATGCACTTTTGTATAGAATGTACATCAAATTGGTAAAACAATGTTTAAAAAATCATCACAAGTTTCTCAATATCTAATTCATACGTATTTCCCGAAAAGCTGTATATATCTGATTACCAAAAGTAGCACGAAAATAATACGGACTTCGTCCTTGTTCACATGTATTACCTGGTTGTGAGATGGATATTTGACATTTTCGAAAAGTTATCTACACGGAAAATATATAATACCGACACCGATACCAACACTTACTGCAAAATAGAGGGACCGTATCAAACGGTCAAATCATACTGAATGAATAGCCTAGTGAAACTTGGTTGGAATCAACAGAAATAAAAATAAATATAAATTCATTATCCTGTAGTTTTATATATTTATTTATTCGGAATCTGAGAAAAACCAAATGCTGTCGTTAGTTTTGGAATTCTTTAAGTGATGAATTTGTGATATTCCAACTGTTTTCTTCTAATTGTTAAATTAAACTGATTGATGTTTTAAAGCAGTAATTTGCATTTTATGTTATTTTTTTTGGAGAAATGGCAATAATCTTATCAAAAGGGAAAATTGGGTACACCTTTTTACGTTCAAGCATATTTGACTTGACTGTTTTGTCCTGAAAACGTATAGGCAAAAGTATTTGATACATCATTTTGCTTCAGATCCATTATTTTTATATATTTAGGCTGCATTTTATATAATAGCATTACAAATTCACAGTACCAAAACATGAAATATATGAGTAAAGTGAAATACCTTTCTAATGTGTCATAACAAAAGATTAGGTGTGTTTGAATAACAAAAAAAAAAAAAGCTTCGTGCTACTTCAAACGATTAAACTGGATGTGTATTTCTTACTTACATTCTTTTTTACTTTCGTTCATTTATTTTACAGAGAAAGATTTAAGCATATTACATTGATTTTTTTTTACTAAAAGTCATTGACTTTAAAAATGCATTTTTGTGTGTGTTATCTAGGGTTATAATCTTCAACCTCTGTAAATGTTTAGTCTGCCCTTCCACAAAATACTTTTTAGTGTCTTATAACTTTCGAAAACTCCTCATGACAACCGATCAGACAATAGTTTTTAGTTGACAAAAGGTCTAAAAGTACATAAAATGATGCTTTATAGATAGTAGATACATTTGTCTTTTAAAATACAACTGTTATGTAAGGATCGTTATTATGTCATGAAGATAGATTTATCGTTTTTCAAGAGCTAAATTGACAGCGCGTCATCCCTACAATGACTTCTATTTTCACGATTGAAATCAAAGTACTGAAGTACTGAACATCGGATGACCGCAAGTTTTGTGGATGGTCACAAGCACTTGTCTCAGAAATAAAATCACATCTCTATACCTGAAAGTGAGGTTAATGTACAGAGATATATTTTTTTCTGAGACAAGTTCGTGCTTGGATGATGAATAAATGACAGGGAATTCAACCTCACCGTAATAACTATTATTTTTTTGTGATACAAATCAGTATACTCTGGTTTGTTGTTATATATTATATTAATATTTGTATATAACAGTTGCATGTATATATAATTTTCATCCATTTGTATATCATTCTATTCTACTATTCTAATAATAGTGCAGTGCAAGTGCATGGTGGACACTGTTCTGTAATAATTCGATTTTTCTAATAGATTGGATTTGAGTAGGCATTCATATTTTCCCGCAAAACCTTCTTGAGATATTCTTCCGCATGCGTTAACACTATGTACATGTGCATAGATATTTATGATTTTTTTTACTTATATATATATTTCTAACGACAAAACATTTTCATATTATTGATTTATGTTCTAAAAGAAATATTTTTATGAGTATTCATTGAAGAAATGTATTAATAACAAGCGATAAGGAATGTTATTTTGCACTCGATAATGTCCGCGTATTCATAGATCGGTTACCAGTCAAAAACTAAAGTTACGTAAGAAGAATCTCTGTGGCAACAATACATAGGAATGCCCTCACGGCCTTTGCGATGTAAAAATTAGTCGGCGTATTGGGGAGATAATTTTGAGGAAGTAGAATCCTGACTTCCTGTGTAAAGTTCTACTAATTTACACACAGACCCAATTGTAGATTGGTCAATTCTCAGCTTCTAAACAAAGCTAATAGATTTAACAAATCATTGGAAATATTTTTTTATAAGTATTTAAAGTGTAAATTACATACATATTTTATAAATGCCTGTGTTCACTGTACATTTTGAGATGACCCCTTCTCAAAAAGATTACCTGTCGTCCTGTGCATAGGTGTAAGCGTCAGTATCGATAAGTTTTCGAAAATATCTAATATTAGCCGCATCGTTGATATACTCCCGTCGTTTTCATTAATGGTTAAATGGTAGATCTTTTTGGTCATACTACTAAAGTACTGAAAGACCCTGAACAACCTTGAACAACCTTAAACAACATGATGACGACAACCGATGAATTGCGGTCGATAAAACATTTTCTGGGTTTTCGTTCCTTTTCGGGAAATTTCATAAATATCATATTAAAGAAGCATACAATTGCCCCGTATTATAAAAAAAAATCACCAGGTCACCGAATTTGATATTTATGTATTAACCGTCATGTCAGTCTATTTCAGTTAATTGTCGACAATTTAACACTTTAACACTGACTTCTTCACGAATAAACTAAAAAAAGAAATTATTGAACCAATGATATTTTACAAATCTTACGATAACATATCGATTCAAGAATAAATATTTGAGAACGTTATTTTTTACCAATTTTTCGTGCCATCTATACAAATATGCAACTGCCTGAAGAATTTTACTAGTTTTATTTATGTTTTTTTTTTTTTTTTAAATGATATGTTTACTGAAAACGGTCATAGTACTGATTGTCCTAGGACTGGTTCATCTGAAGGTGTCAGTTAAGTTATAGTAGTGTTAACAGGGTTAAAAAGGATACACACATTTTAAGAATGGACCTTTTTTTTCTTATTTCCAGCTGGAAAGACAAGCTTGGTTCAATTCTTCACAACAAACTGTTCCATGCTTTTGTGGTTATTTTGATAGTATTAGATGCTATCATAGTACTGATGTTGTTACTTGTTGATTTGGATGTTATACCAGGTAAGTCAAGTTAAATATTAATAAAAACGATGGGAAGAAGCTACTAACTACTACTAGGGGGTATTAAACGACCTTGACTACCCATGAGGGTCTCGCACGGTCGGTAAAAGTAACTACATTTGTATCGATAAGATTATTTGTAACCCACAACTCAAGTTTACAAAATAGACACCCTTCCAACAAGTAATTAAAACGATAAGGCTCTGCATCTTCCAGTGACTAAACATCAACTCCCAGTTCCTATTCGGTACAACACCAACATCAAGGGAGTCATTCGGTATATTGAGGACAGTCCGTTGATTTACCTTTGCATAGAGTGAAAAAGAGAAAAGTCCTTTGGTTTGGTTCACCAAAGAAACATTTTTAGATTGGTTTAAATTTGTACCATGTAATTCAAAATGAAGTATAATGTGATAAATATAATAAAAGGTTGTGTATGTCACTATCACAATAAAATATATTAAAATTCAGGTATAAAGGGAAATCAATGAAGGCGTGTAACTCAATCGAGGATTCTGTAAGGACTAAGGGCATCGTCCTATCTGTTTTCCTTCGAAATACTATGTTGTTAAAATATAAATAGTTTAATAATTCAAACCATTACCTAAAATAATATTCACATTGATATTATTAATTATCAGATGTTATCTTATCTTTGCATGTGCATGCTCCAAGAGCTTCAATGGTGGGACTGTTTTGACGACTATTGTAAATAGACCTGGGTATATAAATATATTGAAAAAAAGGGACGAAAGATACCAGAGGGACAGTCAAATTCATAGATCGAAAACAAACTGACAACGCCATGGCCAAAAATAAAAAGACAAATAGACAAATAATAATTCAGATCACACAACATAGAAAACTAAAGACTAAGCAACACGAACCCCACCAAAAACTGGGGGTGATCTCAGGTGCTCCGGAAGGGTAAGCAGATCCTGCTCCACATGTGGCACCCGTCGTGTTGCTAATGTTATTACAAATCCGGTAAATAGTCTTATTCGGTAGGTCACATTCGTGAAAAGGGAAGGGTATTGTAGTTACGACATAAGGAACATATCCGATATCATATGTGAAACGGTCATTCCATAACGGTCAACCAACTCGTGATGGCGTCCGTAAAATTTACGAAGGGATGATTTCAACTTCACCATTTGGAACTCTTGGTTTAATAGCTTTCTTGTGAGCAGCAATCCTCTATCAAGGAAATCATGATAGGAAATACAAGCCCGGGAATATCGTATCAATTGGAAGATATATACTCAGTATACAGGCGCTGCTGGAATGTTGCTACATAGAAATGGAAAGTTCACAATTGGGAAGCTGAAATCATCTCTTTTGTCGTAAAGTTTTGTTTTCAACCGACCCTCATTGTCAATTTCTAGATGTAAGTCAAGATATGAGGCAGAATTAACTGTATCTGAAGTATCCTTTATCTCTAGTTCGATGGGATAGATTCGTTCAACATAGTCACCAAATTTTGTATTATTTAGTGAGAGAACATCATCTATATAGCGGAACGTAAAGTTAAAGGATATTGCTAACTTCTTATCTTTCTTCCTAAGAAGTTCCTGTATGAAGTCAACCTCATAATAATAAAGAAACAAGTCGACAAGAAGAGGGGCACAATTGGTTCCCATTGGAATTCCGACAGTCTGTTGAAAAACACGTCCTCCAAACGTAACAAATATATACAAATATGATGTCAATCAAGAAATCAAGCATCTTGATAATGTCAGTTTCAGAAAATTTTTTGTTTGAATCAGAGTGATTCTTTACAAAGTAGGATTTATCCCTCCCCAAGACAAGATACTTGTATCTACGTTCGCCATTCTTTTTAATGAAACAAAGTAATACCAACTCTTTCAATTTGTCTTTTAGTTTGGAATGGGGAATAGTTGTATAAAGTGTAGAAAAGTCAAATGTTTTAATACTATTGCAAGATGAGAGAGTCTTAGATTGTATGTACTCTAAAAGATCTTTGGAATTTTTTAGTATCACATCTGATTCGCTATGCAGTTTCACAATAACTTTGGAGCCCGGCTTTGATTGCTGATAAAATAGATGTTAATAATTTAGAAAGAGGTTTCGTGGAGCACTTGGAAGACCCAGCAATATACCGTTGTTTGTAAGAACACTTATGTAGTTTAGGTATCTAATACAGTGATGGAAGATCCAGTTCTTCATCTTTGGTTGACATTCCAAAGGAACATAGACCTATTGGCATATACCTAGAGTCTGGTATCGTTGTTCCCTGTTCCATTGATTTTTTTTTATAAAAGTTATATTGATTTTTTTACTTTGGTAGATAAAGTTTTCTTTCTACCATTCGTTGATAGTACTAATGTTGTATGACTCAGAGATTACAGAACACTTTAGTCTTTCTTTATTAGCCGTACAGTGACATCTAAATGTCTTTTGTGTTAAACATTTTGTTGCTACATGTATATTGCTGTCTCATTAATGTTTATCCCTAATCTCCTTTTATTCAAAGATGATTATTAAAAAGAAATAAAAACAATAATAAAAGCTCTGATTGATTTGAATTGCATCACATGATGCTAGTCAGGAACTCATTTATTGACCTCAATCAGCAAAATGCCTGAAATACTAAACATTGTATTTCTATTGCCGAACAAGTGTCATACACATTTGTATCTTCACAGTAGGTATAGTGCCCGGCTAGGATCGTGGTTTTTCGAGTGATTTGATCGGGTTTTTTCGAGTGTGACCACTTTTTTTCGAGTGAATATGATCAAAAATGTAAACAAACAGACTTCCTTTCTGACAAGACGTGATATAGAAGCTTGAATTTAATATACAAGGATATACAATGTGTGTTAGTATTTGAGATAAAAAGATATTATCAATCCGACATTATTTTTCGTTAAAAAAGTTTAATTTAGCCTTACAATGCTTTTATTCCAAAAAAAAAAACAGAATAAAGCCATTTTTATACACATACCAATGCAAAAGTCGATGGAAATGCATACATGGAATCGATATATCCTTAGATAAACAGACACTTTACAAAAATTCTTGTTATTACATTGAAAACGACATTTTGAGACAAAATTCATTTCTATGTGTTCGAGTTTTTTCGAGAGCAGTCCGGGCTTTTTCGATTGCGTCCGTGTTTTATCGAGTGATTATACCAATTTCCTATAGCTTAAAAGGTTATGTGTCATTGTATTTAAGTTTAAAAACAAACAAAAAAAGGTTCAAATTATGTACTTTTAAAGGCACGAAACCAATGCATTCATCAGTTTGATAATGGTGTACTAACACTTACACTTTATAAACAAGTATCGTTCATTTGTATATATTGTTGTTTGTTAATCTAATGTAAGCATAGCCAATTTGGATTGAGACGTACGTACATATAGTGTGTTAAGCTGATGAACTATTCATTTCATTGTTAACTCTATATGAAATTTAATTCAAATTTTATTGTCAGTGGGAATAAAAACTGGTCGGATTAAATGTGTGTATTGTTTGTTTTTTTTTTTTTGTTATTAATGAAATTTTTTGTGGGGCAGGGAGCAGACGTCTTTTAGTAGAATATTTTTTATTACATAGCATTTTTCTGATTCTTCTCTGCTGTCCAGTAGGTTTCTTACTCCGTTTTTGAATAAACAGCTGCGCCATGGGCGCATGATACGCCCGTCGCGTTTTCAAAGAATAAAGTTCATTCTCTTATGGTTGTGGCTTAATTATTAACTTTTTCTTGCATGAATAGACATTTCTTGTTTCACATGCACTGCACGGAGTGTGATACGAAAAAGTGATACGAAAATTTGCGTTAATTTGATTTGCTAATCCAGCATCATAAGACGATATTACGGCATTTCCATTGGCTATTCGTTAGGTCATTGATGACCTTCAAAGGTTACGACGATGTACATCGCGTGTGCAAAAAACTAGACCAACGATACGCGGAATTGTTTAATTTAACACAATGAGAGTGTTGACCTTAAGACAAATAGGTTTAACAACTTGTGAAAATGGGATATCGCTTGATATCAACTCCGAGTCGTTATTTAATTCAAATAGTAATAATAAACTCGCCGAACCGGGTTCGTTTATTATTATATTGAAATTAAATAACTCGAGTTGATATCAAGCGATATCCATTCTCACTCGTTATGAAACCTATAAATAATTTCTCAATGTCATATCAAAAATTTATGAAAAACTAAAGGGAGGTTACCTTAATCTATATAAACAAGTCACCAAAGTTTCACGAAAACTCCTCAAATCACTTTTAAAATATTGTCCGAAAACTGTAAAATCACCCCTTTTTAGCTCACCTGGTCCAAAAGGGTCAAGTGAGCTTTTCTCATCACTTGGCGTCCGTCGTTGTTCGTCGTCGTCGTCCGTTAACTTTTACAAAAATTTTCTCCTCTGCAACTACTGGGCAAAGTTCATTATAGATAGAGATAACTGTAAACAGCAAGAATGTTCAGTAAAGTAAGATCTACAAACAAGTCACCATCACCAAAACAGAGAATTTTGTCATGAATTCTATTCTTGTCTTTAATGTTGAAGAGTGTCCTTTGTTTAATATGCACTGCAGCACATAGACCAAGGTGAGCGACACAAGCTCTTTAGAGCCTCTAGTTCGTCTAATAAAATCCCATAACTCGGAAACGTAAAATCTAAAATTTATAAAATTCGAAAGAGAGGATACCTCAATAGATATAAACAATTCACCGAAGTTTCATGTAAATTGGTTACAGCGTTTTTGAGTTATTGTCCTACATGCTGACGACGGACGGACGGACGGACGACGGTATACCATAATACGTCCCTTATAAAAACTCCGGGGTTCACAACGAAAAATAGTATAAACTGTGACAATACAAGTACCATGAAATGAAGTTTAAAAGATTATGAATCCCCTGCACTATGTAACATAGTATGTTCTAAAGACTTTTTTATAAAGGATCCAATGATTTCTAATTTAATACTGGAAAGTTGTGGTAGAACGTTTTCCGAACAGAAAATTTGCATTAAATTAAAAAAGGTTAATTTTGATCAACGTAGTAGTATGGTTTGGTGATTTATTGAGAATATATGATAATTTTCATTCATTAAATTTGTAAACTTTTATAAAAGAAAAGTGACCAATTCTTTTGATTTTAGTTTTATATGGCCATTCGTTCATATTATAGAACAAACGTTTTGTACAGTTTGTGAACTGTTTTTTATGATGATTATAGTTTGGATATACATTACACAACAGTTTCTTCTTCTAATGTTAATCGATTACTGATCTTCTCGGGACTGATCTTATTATTCAAGAGGAAATTATTTTACCATTGCACGAATACATTTTCCTTACTAAGTCCTCTATGCACGATTTTTTTACATTTATTACGAATCCATAACATGTAATGGACAAAACATTTTTCATTTAGTGAAAAAATATTTCTTGCTCATTAACGTTCATGTTTTATTGCCGAGGTTTACCGAACGTGACCTGAATAAACAATTAAAACAGAATCATGGATCACGTGGAAAATCAGTAAGATGATAGACATGCAATAGAGTGATGTTCAATTCTTTTTTGTTATATATATTTTCCATGCGTTTCTACTTGTAAATTAAACTTTGTCATAACAGCTGTTAAATGATTTGATGTATAAACAGTTTTTACCCATTGGTGGCCTTCGGCTGTTGTCTGCTCTTTGGTCGAGTTGTTGTCTCTTTGACATATTCCCCATTTCCATTCTCAATTTTATTCTTTAAGAATCAATTAACACTATCTAATTTTCACGTTTGTTTGCCTTTTCTTTCATCATGGTTTTCCCTCGCATTTGCGTTGTGCGGTTATCAAAGTGCTAACGAGATAATTCTTAGTTAAGGTCACTTGATACGGAAAAGCTATCGGCGAATTAGAGTACGGGAAGAAAATAATTCAATAGCAGTAAAAGATTTTGATCAGATATGGGTGTTTCTTTCTTTTGTTGGTATTTAACGCAATTTCAGCACTATTGTACTATTTCTTGGCAGTCAGTTTTTATGGTGGAAGAAGCCGGAGGGAACCGCCGACCTTCGACATGAAAACTGACAATCCTAGTCCAATTAAAGGGAAAATTCGCGATTTTTTACTTATCATCTTATTATGTTCATAATACCATAAAAAACACATTTTTATCTGGATATGAACACTAATAAAGAAGAAAATTGGGAATTATTAATTTTATTTATTCGAACTTCCTGACTACTGTGACGTCATAACATTTCGTATGAATGATAAACAGGAGTGCGTAGAAAATACAAGTTTTTACCATTCTAGAGTTATGCTCTTTACAAATGGAAAAAATGCTGAAATTTCGTTTCCGTTCTCTAACTTAAGTTTGTCTCAAACAAATGTCATGAAACTTTTTTACCACAAAACACAGATCAAGTTTGAATTTTGGTGGCGTCACTTTTACCATTCTAGAGTTATGCCCCTTTACAAATGAAAAAATTGCTGAATTTTTCGTTTTTGTTCTCTAACTTTAGTTTGCCTCAACTAAACGTTATGAATCTTATACACAATGCTTATTACCACAATACACAGATCAAGTTTGAATTTTGGTGGCGTCACTTTTACCGTTCTAGAGTTGTGCCCCTTTAGAAATGGAAAAATTGCTAAATTTTTCGTTTCCGCTCTCTAACTTAAGTTTGCTTTTTACCACAAAACTCAGATCAAGTACGAATTTGGGAAGCGTCACTTGTACCGTTCTTGAGTTATGTCCCTTTCTAACGTTGTATGCAAGCGGGGGCATCATATGTGTCCCATGGACACATTCCCCATTTATTTATGAAAAGTTACGATCAAATGCAAAAGGTATATACACTTTAAGCTACTTTGCCCCCACTAATAAGTGTTGATCTACTATGACCGTACCATTGATATTCCCCATATTACTATATATTTTTTTTTTATTTTAAAGTCTTACCTGATAGTGGTAGAGATAAATAATTTCATATGCAGGAGACATAGCATGCTTATTTATTATTATTTTTTTAGTATCAGGAGAAACTGAAGAAGCCAAAGCCAAAAACCATAAAAACGTGGAAAATGGACTTCATTACTTTGGTTTTTCCATTATCTGTCTCTTCGTAATAGAGGTAACTGATATTTCATTTTTATGAAGATCCTTGATAAAAACAAGTCATAGTGAAAGATGGCAATTTGAATATGCCATTTATATGGTTTATGTCCCAGATCGAGAAAGTAATTTGATCTTACATATGCAAGTTAAGTGTAATTGAAAATAAAAAAAGTTCTAATGTCCACTAACAGTTTATTTCTGTTAATCTTGATTTGTATTTTCCGGTTTTTTTATTTGTTTTTTTTTTTGCATCAAGCGTTAAATCCAGGCCACCGGACCACTATATCTTGCTTCTTTTGTTATATCATGTTTTTCTAACTTTCAGATTGTACTAAGAATCATTGTTGACGGAGTGGAATTTTTCAAAGATAAACTAAACGTACGTTGAAGTTAATAGTTAAAGACAAAACCCAGTCTAAAACATTTCTGTTGCAAAAAAAACAAAACAAAAATAAAACCATATTTTTCAAAATGAAAATCTGTTAAATACTATTTTTTGTTTTTTATTTTTATTAAAATGACGCGCGTGGTCTAGAAAATACAAGTTTTGTCAACATACTAAAATTACACAATCTACTGGATGTTGTTAGGACATACATATAAAGGGTTACAGTCAGTCATATCCATACATCAAATAATATGTTGAAATTGGTTTTGATTTTCATTTGATAACTCTGGAGGTTCAATCTGTCAAATTTAGCCTTATTAGAGAAAAAAAACTGATGGAGAGTTTGCGTCGAGAACCCAATAAATAACTTTAATGAAATGGGAGTGCAATACTAAGTTTGTATTCCATATAAGATGTAGTACCCAACTACGCAATATTTATTGTCAAATTTAAGGCGGCCGTCATGCCAAATAAGGGTTTTATGTTCGGTCAAATTATCTTTCCGGGGCGTCATCGACTTCACAAGCAGTAGGTTTATCGTGAGTTTAAACCTGGTAATTATATGTAATCATACTTTAACTAAGGATGCAACTCACTAAACTTTTGGTCTGGTGTACCATTTGATGGTCTAGAAACACTTGTCGGGCGCACTTAAATCATATTCATACGTTTAGTGTAGTTAGGACCACTATATCAACAAGGAGATGCAGTATGATTGCAAATGAGACAACTATACACCAGAGACCAAAATGACATGGCTGTAATTTATCATAGGAAACCGTACAGCCTTCAACAATTAGCAAAACCCATATCGTATAGTCAAATATAAAAGGCACCGACATGGCAATTTGTGAAACAATTCAAATTAAAAAAAACAACAACCTGATTTATGATAAAACATTAAACGAAAAACAAATATGTCAGATAGCAACCATTGCCAACCCCTAAATTACAGGCCCTCGACTTGGGACAGGCACATTCAGAAATGGCGGACAATGACAATCACAGAAGTACAGGTACATGACTTGGGACAGGCACATTTGGAAATTGGTTGACTCAACAGATTGACACGAAGCACCAAACAACTAACTTAAAGAATATAGAAACAAATCATAGATCAAAGAGCACGTGGATGGTACTGAACTAACACTGTTTTATTTTGTATATAGTGATTGATGCATCTTAACAACAATTTGACTTGTTTTCTTGTAACTGTGTTTGTTTTCTTTGTTAATGGTAGACACCCATCCCCAAGAATAATCCTACCTTCATTGGGACAACTTTATAATTTGATTGGGTTTTTTGGTGTTTAATGCTGTGATAATATTACTGTCATTTCTATAGATATTGTCCTAACTTTTGCACCAATCAGTAACACCGTTAGAGCTGGAGTCATTCAATATTGTCATTTCTATATAGGTGTTTGATGCTGTGATAGTATTACTGTCATTTGTATTAGATCTAGCCCTAACGTTTGCACCAGTCAGTAGAGCTGTTAGAGATGTAGTCATCCTGATGATCCTTCTACGACTATGGAGATTTTTTAAATTGATATGTGGTAAATATGTTCTTTTAACAAATATGTGATAAATATGTTCTCTTAAACAAATATTTTGTAAATATGTTTTGTTAGCAAACAAATATGTGGTAAATATGCTCTCTAAACAAACGAGTAAAAAACCCAATTCAAATTTTTCCGCAAAGTTTTACAAATACATATTTTTTTTAGTTTAAGTATACATAAATAGTTGCTTTTGAGCAAAGGGTCATTTTGATTTTGTTTTCCTGAAGACAATCTTTAATAGATTTAACTACAATATTTGTTTCTATTGACCCATTTTTGTTTATAAGATTTTGTCTTTCAAGTGTAAATGTGAATGTCTAATGCACGGCAACATATCATCAAATGATTGAGATTTATCACAAAAAATTACTTGTTCGCTTTTTTGTGATATCTCCAAGACTTGTGACCGCCTTTAGTACAAAGATATCTTGACAAAGATTAAAACATATGGTATAACAAGCAAATTATTTGATTTAGTTGGAACCTATCTAAGTAATAGGAAACGGAAAGAGCTTCTTAAAAAAATCATAATCAATACTTGGAACATTGAAAGCAGGTGTCCCTAAGACTCAGTACTTTGACCTTTATCATTTCTGATGTATATAATGATATAGAAGACGAAGTTAATTAACATAAATGATGCACAAATTTTTTTTTTTAATGAAAGCTCACGGAGGTCAGGCGGTCATTTAATTCTTGTCTTTTCATTAAAAAAAAATAAATTTTATATTGTCTTTTCAGCTGTACTTTGTTGTAACAATCTGTAAATTTTACTTCCGTTTTGATTTCAGCCGTTAATATCTGTGTACGGAAGGACATGAAAGAAGAATTGGAGAAAGAAAGAAAAGCGAGAATGAAAGCAGAGGAGGAACGGGACCATTATAAAGAAATCTTACAAAAGATACAAAACGATTCATAACGCATAGCCCAGATCATTATTTCAATATTTTTATCAATTCATCCTTTTATCATTTTTATTCGATCAAAAGAATGCACTCTGGTCAGGCTTCCATTATTTACATAAGATTATGTCATTGACCTTTACCAGTTTACATCGATTTGCTAGGCGGGCAGCCCAACTGGTCACTGTGGCCTTGAATCCAGCTGTCGTGAAAGTACCGTCAGCAAATAAAGTAATAAACTACACAAAATCAACGTCCTAGGTAAATGTCAACTGCATATTTATCACAACATCGTAGCAAGCCATCGACAACTGAAAGTAATGCAGAGTAAACACTGAGCAAATTGTCAACAATTTAAAAAATCATCTGTCCGACTGAAGGATAGATAAACACAAAAGTTATGTTGGTGGACAGTTCAAATAGGAAAAATAACTCAAATTGTATAATATTGATGTAAAGCAGTTTTAGAACGTGGGCATTAGATAAATTAGATAAATGGAGAATTGTTAACCGTCTTCTTGTATAAAAAGTAAATTAACCTCTACCATGTCGGATACCACGAATACGTTTTCACTCAGACTGCATATATTTAATACATTTGCACTGTTTAAAACTGATAGAATTGTCAGTATATGTAAAATGTGTTATTTTTCTGTATAATTCATATATGTCATCAGAAAAAAAACTGTTTACAATGTAATTCTATTTTATCTTTTTTTTCAAACGTACACAAAAGAAGTCTGCATCTTTACTTATGGAAGAAAAGAAGAAAGGAGATACCGAGGGAGGCAATACAAAACCATAAATTGAAGAAAAGCAGACAAAAGAAAAAAAAATAACAACAAAAAAATCCATCACAAAACGCTGTAGAAAAAACTTAAGATGAGGCAACACGTAGGCCTCAAAAAACCGGATCGTTATCTACATCAACGTTAGTCTCACGAGACAATTACGGTTAATACAGTTGAAGTAAAATATTGACTGTCAAAAAAATATATTTCTTTGTAAAAAAAATAAGACAGAAAGATTAGAGAAAAGAAAGTTTCCTACAATAACAACAACATTTCAAACAAACAAAAGCAAGACTCACAACAACAAAAATAAAAAGAAGGCGATTTTGTTAGCTAATACCATCACTTCAAAAAAAAAATCTGATACCTTTGAACCAAATCTATATAAGTGTAAATGTAAGCATTTGTTTATTATTTTGAAAATCATCATAGATGCAGAAAAAGATCCACCTACTTTCCTTCTAGGAGGTTTTATTAACATAATGATTTAAGGAGTTATTGCCCTTAAATGACGGTTTGTTTTTACTATTTTTATACTTTTGCCCCTAGCAAATCAACAACCTATAATCTACAAAACTGCCAATGCGATATAAACCAACAACATACTTCTTATATCCAACTCAATTAAATTCAGTGAACTTTGTTGAATTCCAATTTTTGACAATTTTATGTTTCAGACTGATATCATCTGCCCATACAAATAGTTTCCTGTTTATACGATCTGGTTCCATCCTTATTAATCTATGCAAGTGTTTTAAAATAACTGTCCACTGTGTCCTTATTAATCTATGCAAGTGTCTTGAAATAACTGTGTATGATAAATTGAAACCAGTCGCATGTCTCCCATGAAAGCTGGGATGGGTGTGTATTTACCTACACCAAGGAAAAATCTACAAGCTCTCGCCTGAATCACATTGATAAATGAAAAATTCTTGTAGCCCGGAAATGCGGAGCAATATTTAACATAGGACTTACAAGTGAATCAAATTGGTTTTGTATAGACGTCATATGAAATGCCACCAATAGCTTTACACTTAGTTATTACTGGGCCTAAGCTTTGGTTGTTAACTTAGCAACTGCATGCTTTAGAAGTAATGCTAAAGTCAAGAAATTCATTGTTCAAATTAGGCCGGTCTGACATTGAACAACATTACTCTTACGTCCATTGATAGTCATTTTATTGTCAGTACACCAATGCTATAACTTATCTAATAGGTTCTTCATTGTCAGTGTTTGCTAACTGTACAATGTCATCATCATGCAAAAAAATACATTCTTCTTCTCCCCAATGTCAACACCAATATCAAAAGATTTTAAGCACATAGCTAATTCTCATTTGTGAAAATATTAACTGCCGAACAAGTGGACAACCCTGTTGAAAACCACATATCACAATAAACTAGTCGACATGTGTTGAAGCTATCAACTATGATGAAGCACCTGACCGTCTGTAGTGTGGACACTTATTTTTGAATGTCGATTTGTTTCACCTAATACTAGTATTACACTAATGTGTATTACTGTCTGTAGTGTGGACAATTATTTGTACAATGTAATGTTGGTTTATTACACTACGAGTACGCTAATATAACTGTCTGTAGTGTGGACAATTACTTTCCACCTGAAACATCAACTTGTAGTGTCGATTTATTTCACCTTTGATTACACTAACGTACTAATTATTGCTATCATACTTGCTGCTGATACGGGAAAGCTGTAAACATGCTGAAACTTTGTATCGATCTGATGAGTTAAGCCCTTTTCAACTGATTTTTAAAGTTTGTTCTTATGTTGTGCTGTAGCACCACTGCCCCCGGTTAAGAAGATGGTTGAGCGCTCACAAACATGTTTAACCCCGCCACATTCTTCATGTGCCTGTCCCAAGTCAGGAGCCTGTAGTTCATTGGTTGTCGTTGGTTCATGTCTGTCATATTTGTTTTTCGTAAATCGTTTTGTTATAAATTAGGCCGTTAGTTTTCTCAATTGAATTGTTTCATATTTTTCATGCCGCGGCCTTTTATAGCCGACTATACGGTATGGGTTTTTTCATTGTTGAAGGTCGTACGGTTGCCTATAACTGCTTACATCCACTTCATTTGAACACCTCCTTTTTGTAATAAACCTTTCGGGCTATATAACTCTATTTATAACTTAAAATAACTGTTTGTACTTGGCTGTATTTGACAAAGCCTTTTGGAATTTTGGGTTTTCGGTGCTCTACAACTGCTTACTTTATACGCCCTTTTTAACTTTTATGATTCGAGCGTCACTGGTGAGTCTTTTGTAGACGAAGCGCGCGTCTGGAGCTCACAATTTTAATCCTGGTATCTATGATGATTTTATTTACAACCACTGGGTCAGTGCCACTGCTGGTGGAGGTTTCTCTCCAAGGGCATAACCAGCCCAGTAGTCAGCACTTTTCTGTTGACATGAATTATTATTGATATGGTCATCTTTATAAATTAACTGTTTATAAAACTTTGAATTTTTCGAAATACTAAGGATTTTCTACCCCAGGAAGATATTGCTGTGGCTGTATTTGACAAAGTCTTTTGGAATTTTGGGTCATCGGTGCTCTTGAACTTCGTACTTTATTTGGCCTTTTTAACTTGTTTTATTCGAGCATCACTGGTGAGTCTTTTGAAGACGAAGCACGAGTCTGGCGTACAGAATTTTAATTCTGTTATCTATGATGAGTTTATTTATATATATCTTTTATATACATTGTAAATGGAAAACTGTAAAGTAAATACAATGATACACAACGTCGGCACCTAGAATATATAACTCAAAACCATTCTGTATTATATGTGAAGTAGATTCTAAATATCTATCTATTATGTCTTGGTACTTGCCTTTAAAGACGAGATGTTCTTTGACAAAACTCTGGCTCATACATTTTTTTGCCCAGACACCGATGACGTTTTACAAAGTATGAGTAGCAGCTCTAAGCTATTTAATATGGTATGGATTGAGAAATGTATAATACAGCATACGCAGGTGAAGTTGAAATATTGCTGCTAAGGTAAAGAAATTTTATAATTTCAAAATGGAAATCATCTCGTTTGAACTAGGTACTGAAAGAAACCCCATAATATGGTTAATGCCACTACGTTAGTAAACAGTATCCCAGCATTTATGTAATCCCCCTTTTACTGTGGACACAATTTTGTTAATCGAACGGACAATTCTTTGATAGAAAAAATCTCTGAATTCATATATTCTGTATGTGCCTGTCCCAAGTCACAAGTAATTCAGTGGTTGTCGTTTGTTGCTGTATATCATATTTGTTTTATATTATTTTGTACATCAATTAGGCCGTTAATTTTCTCGTTTGAATTGCTGAAAATGCCTGTCTCAAGTCAGAAATATGACAGTTGTTTTCCATTCGTTTGATGTGTTTATGCATTTGATTTTGCCATTTGATAAGGGACTTTCCGTTTTGAATTTTCCTTTGAGTTCGGTATTTTTGTTATTTTACTTCTTACATTTGTCATTTCGGGCCCTTTTATAGCTGACTTTGTGGTATGGGTTTTGCTCATTGTTGAAGGCCGACCGGTGACGACCTATAATTGTTAATTTTTGTGTCATTCGGTCTCTTGTGGAGAGTTGTCTCATTGGCAATCATACCACATCTTCTTATTTTTATATTAGGTCGAACAATTACAATTTTTCAACTTCCGGATTCGACGTTGAATCAAATAATTGCCTTTTTTTTTTGCATTCTGACAGAGTGACTATTTCAAACTTTTCTCGTTTGTACATGCTCTGGGGTAATCCCCAACGGAAAACCTTCCTCATAGGAGATTTTTCAATAAAACAACGATTGTTTTTAAATTAATTTAAGCATGTACGTTATAAAACTAAAACAAATAGTTATAAATGTTTAATGATATTAATGCTTTGCATATTGGTATTAACATAATCGAAGAAAAATTAGCTATATTGTTATATGTTGAATGTGCTTAGTACATGGTGTCTCAATAATGAGTTGATAGTTGATATTAACAAATCTATGATCATGCATTTAAGAAATCCATCTGTTGTACAAACTAATTTTAATTTTACTATTGGTGGTAATGTTATAGCTTGTGTAAAAAAATATTATCAATATATAGGCTTGTTACTGTTTAGATTATTAGTTAATGGCTAAATCAGTAGCAAAATCAGCCAGTAGAGCATTGGGATTGTTAATTGTAAAGAGTAAAACTCGTGGAGGTTTCCAGCAGAAACTATTTTCATAACTTGATGATACTATGGTATAGTCAGTTATCAATTATGGTGCAGGTATTTGGGGAACCAGGGACTTCTGCATAAATGCAGTCCAAAACAGGGCCACGAGATTTTTCATTAGAGTTGTTAAATGAACACCAAATGATACTATAGCTGGTGATATGGGCTGGAAACCACCATACGTTAAAGAATGGTCAAGTATCTTGACACATTGGGCAAAGTGTTCCATAATGGACCGGCATAGGATATTTTTTTTTTTCAATTTTTGAATGGTCCTTCGAAAGTGTAATACTAGAATTAAGAATTGGAACTCTAGAGTTATAGAGATGTTTTGAGTTAAATATTTTGAACAGAAATAGTATTAAACAAATTGAGGAATATGTATTTAATAAGTATTAATCAGACTAGTGTCCAATAGTTGTTGCTTATGCAGATGGAAGTAGATTGAGAGCTTACAAATTGTTATAAATAATTATTTGAAAACTTTTTCGTCAATTAAACACAAAAGTGTTTTTTTTTTCGAGATTCAGAAGTGGGGTAGCTCCCTTTAAAATAAAAACTGGAACGTATGAAAGAAAAGAAATGCATGAGATGACATTTTTTAACTGTAACTATACTATTGAAGATGAACTTCATGTCATTTCAAAATGCCCATTATATGTAGATTTAAGACAAA